CCCCAGGCTGACTCTTGGCACTGAGCCAAACCTCCAGCCCAACTGAACACCAAAACAGTCAAGCAGGGTTGCTTTGTTTCTCTGTCTGTAGGTTCCAGCAAGAAGCCAGGAGGATCTCATTTAAGGATCAGCTGCAGAAGCCACCAGGGATATTTCATAGGCAGCTAACCAAGTCAGCAGAAATTCACACCTGGTGTGTGATGGTCATGTGGAGACCAAAGGCCCCTAGTGCTTTGCTATCGAAACCAGTGGTTAAAATGCAGAAGAGTCAAGTACCATCCTCTAGCTTCCAATCCAGAAGTCTGGTGGGCCGATGAAGGAGGACCAGCTTTGAGAGAGGAACTCTCTGTGGAGGACTGAGGGAAGTGTCTGGAGGCTGAAGTAGCAGAGGGAGAACAATGCAGAGATTTTCCAGGAGGGCTGGCAGGTATCCTAACTTTACCCCCAGCTGCAGGAATCAACCACCTTCTCTTGGAAATGACACACTTTTGGATTCCCTCTGAACCAGTTCTTCTGACTAATGAAGAGAGCTGCTATGCAGCAAGTTATGAGATTTGAAGGATATGTAGCTTCAGGTATCTCCACCTGAGACCAAACTGACTTTAGGTGGCATCAGCCCCGTTAGGAAGACCAAACCAGAAAAACTAATGTTACAGGAAGACAAGATCTAGACTTTATTGAGATATGCTGTAATAACAGAAACATGCAGGCCTGATTGTGCTTTACCTCCTCTGCTTTTTATACCTGTAATGGGTGGTAAGAATAACCCTAAGAGACAGGAGGAAGAGTCACAGTCTAAACAACAGTCTGATAAAGGAAACCTGAGTCCAAACCAGAAGTGTAATTTGAGAACGCATCTCACTCCCCCCATCTGCAAAGGTCATTGACAAGCGGGCCCAGCAATGTCTCCATACTCTAACCGGAAACAGGTCCAAATAATCTGTTTCCTTCAAGATCTTCTGTAGCTGCTGTCCAACCACCTTCTCTACAACCTTCCCTACAAAGGGAAGATTGGAATCTAGATAATATTTATCAAAAATGGAGGGGTTCAGTGATGGCCTCTTGAAGAAGGGACCCACTACCGCCTTCTTCAAGGCCTGCAGAATCCGCCCCCCTCTCTCAAAGAGGTAGATACCAGGTGGGTATATATATAAATATAAATATATACCAGATATATTTCAGGTGGGCACCCATTTATGTAAGAAGCCTGGGACATGTTATCCTATTACCCCTTTATAAAAGGGGCTGGTATTAACCCCATGCTTTATGATTACTCAACTGCACTGTTGTTGTAGAAGACAGCAAAGGTCAGCTGAGGTGGTGGAGCACAGGGCAGCAGGGTTTCAGAGTGCAGGGTGGCAAGGGCAACTGCAGCTGAGACTGAGGTAGGGTGGCTGCAGCCTCCCAGGGTGTGACAAGCAGCCCCAAGGCAGGGTGCAGGGTGGCAGAAGGACAGAGATGAGGGGGAGATAGGCAGGTGAGGGGAGTGGAGGCAGTTCTTTACCTTACTGAGGCTTGGGGCTGGGAGGGACCAAGCCTGGAATAGCTTGGACTGGGGGGGGTACACTTCTCGGTTAATGATGGCAACCGGGACTGCCAAGATTGTGGTCACTAAGCGAAGCAGTCATGTGATGTCTTGCTTTACCACCCATCGCTTAGCGATGGAAATTCTGGTCCCACCTGTGGCCATAAGTTGAGGACTACCTGCAATAAATCCAAGACTATTTGCATAAGAACAATATGTTCCATCAACAAGATACATGGGCAGCCCTTCTTTTACAGGTAGTCCTCGACTTACAATGACAATTGGGACTGGAATTTCCATTGCTAAATGATACAGTCATAAAACACGAC